AGTGAAAACCAATATGTGTGAGAATGAAATGAAGTCTCCACCAAAGCAAACGGGGAGATTAAGGCTCAAAGACTCGCAGATGTGATGCCATCAAATGTAAAATCTTGTCTTTTTCATTTTTACTCTCTATATTATATTACTAAATATGGAACTGGCTTTGTGCAGAAGGTCCCAAGTGGGTTTCTTCTGTCTTCCTTTAATATCAGTTACTATTCTTCCAGTCAAGCTCACTTTAAGATATTGGGTGTTGATAGCAAAGTCAGTTCAATCACATTATATTGTCCTTTGCCATTGCTAGATTTTAGAAAATATCATAGTATATTTGGCAGTCTATATTGTTACAGTGGCGGTATTTGTTGGAAGAGTTGTGTTTACTCAGCCAGGGTTCACAGACTGGTAAATCAATGCAGTGGTCTAGAACGGTAGGCGCGGGCTTAACAGTTCTAAATGGTCGATAGTCTGTAGGTGTTCAAGTCCAAATACAATAGGCAATCAAATGGAGCGAGTGAAGTAATGAGTTCAGGTCAGAGGTATGTGCTTTATTGTTTCTATAGGACTATTCAAAGTAACCTGTGTAAGTGGTATGCATACATATTAAATCTTAGTACCGTCGTCGTAAAGGCAGTGTCTATTGTTGGGTTTCAGATCACATCACATTCTGTATAGGTCAGTAACATTTAATATAGATGGGGGGCAGTTAAAATAATTGTTAAAACCCAGATTTTTGTTGTAATACAGTAAGTTTTTGGGTCTAATCCCTAATAGAAACAATCAGATCCAACATTTATACATTTCCTTCCTCATCACATTCTAGAATCTGAAAACCACCAATAACCTGGGTAAATGCGTACTGTTGTTTTATGGATAAATCTTGTATTGAATCAAATAGCTCTTCTTTTTATAAGCTTGGGGTAAAATGTGTGGAGACTAGTTGACAATCAGGACTCAAACCACTAATTTTGATTCCAAACATGGACTAAGAAATATTTTTACTTGTGCATTCTTATTTGAAGAAAATGGAAATTGGAAGAAATTAATCAGGTCAATAAGACCTGCTGGGTCTTGATTTTGGTTGGCTTAATAAAAGTAGTTAGCCCTTTGAAAAATAGTTTAGGATTATACAGAACAAAGGGAATCACACTTTTGTACTCATTTTCAATACTAATAATTACTGAGAAATCCACATTATGTATCCATGTTTGCATCGTAAGCCTAAATGCATGCACACGTTATCCTTATCAGCAGAAAAACATGTGCTCACTACCACTATCAACTGAAACGTGCAATACTGAGAAAATTGTTGTTGTTAATTTTTCGTAACTTGGATTATAATAATGAGAAGCACCAGAAAGAAAGAGAGGAGAAAGGGTGACGAGCTGTGCCTGGATCAGAGGGAGGGGGAGCGGGCGCAGACTTAAACACAGAGGCAAAAGGGAAGGAGACACTTACACTTTTAGTGAAATTGTGCAGATTTTTGTGAAAACTTGTGGAACACAAGGACAGATGAGGAGACATAAGGAGACTGTGGCCCTGACTCAGCTTTCACCTGAACAAGTGAGCGGTGACAGCTCTTTAGTACCACGGGCTACTACTGCCACATGATTGGATGTAGACCTGGCAATTAAAATGCGCATCAATGTAATTTTATTATATTAGCAGAATGTATACAATTGTTTACTTCAATAGCAAATCTGTGTTGCTGTATCGTGGAAATGCAACTTTCATTACATATTTAATTTGCTTGTAAACTGCTGCGGCATATTATGTAAGAGCACATGTAACAAATTTTATTAAAATGTAACAAGTTTAATTTTGACAGCAGGAAAATGTTACAATAAGTAGTCTAGAGAAGGATTAAAGTGAAAAAGTGTTTTCAACCAATAACCCTCTGCATTATTTATCTGTTGTGTTATATCGTTTTAATCTAGCAACAGTTTCAATAAAAAGTTTAACTCCAATGGCAAAAATATCCTCAACTGAATCCACAAACTTCAAATATATTATGACTGAAGGAAGATAACATTTGCCCTTGGATGGAACATGCAAATACCTGACAACCGTCTAACATTTCAGACCTCAGTTCATTTAAACTCTTTTCTCTGAAGTGCCTTTCCTTTCTGTTGCCTTTTAATACATGTGAGTCCTCAATACTGCAGATTTTTTTTTATTGCACAAACATCAGAGGTAAGCCAAGGAGAAAAAAACTATTTCCTGGAAACAGTTAACAGAAAATACAGAAAAGAAAGTTGATGACTATTCGGTACCGGAGATTAGGAGCAAAATCACACTAAATAACAAATTTGGAGAATTATCCAAATTCGGCAATGTTTTTAAAAAGCTAACATTTTGGAACTTTTTGCACCTATTCCTCCTAGTTGTAAAAAACATATTTTATTTGTATTTTTTGTGTAAATCAGCCAACACAAGTAAACTAACTAGTGATATTAGAGGGAGGGGTCAAATGTCTGGCAACATGTCAGCGTATAGTATGCTGGAATATAGTTATTAATAGGGTTGGGTGGTATGGGAAAAAATGAGTTATTATGTCAATTTTCAATTTGATTTAATTTACTCTTTTCAAAAACAAAATTAAAATGGCTTTTGGTATTAATTTCATGAAGATAAACAACGCAGGCTCTGCAATTTTTACAATTTAAGGCCCCCCAAAATATGTTTTGTTTGTTATCTGCTCAAAACCACGTGTTTTTACTGACAGAGGAGTGTCTGTAGACCTCTCGATTCAAAAACCTCATCCATCTCATTGATGATTATACATGACTGATTCACAATCTCTCCATCTTTCAGTTAATTGCCTAGCCCTAATTACTTTATTAGTCTTGATCACTGCTTTTTAGAGTTGTAAAGAACAGAAGCACTAGGCAGGCACAAGAGCAAGAAAGCATCTTTAGCTCATACACATAAATGAATGAAACAACTGTTTTGTTAAAAAAAAAAAATCATTCAGCATAATATTGTCTTAAAAAGTCCTGTATTACACAAAATTTATTCTTGTGAACTTTAAGCCATGTTATAATGCTTTAACCTCCTCAAAAACATACCTGGATATGTGTTTTGTTTCATTCACGTATGTTTGAGTAATCTTTTCTTATTAACTGTCTACATCTCCAAATCTCAAAATGGTCTGTCCCACTTTGTGATGTCATGTGGTAGTTTTCGAGTTAATAACTTTAACATTTTGTTCAGTAGAGATTGGTAATTCCAGGGCTCAAATGATCCAAGTGATTCTAGTGAAGGTGTATGTTTAAAAACACATTGGAGCACTTCCTGTATTACCACATGACATCACAAGGTGAAGTGTTTTCTGTTTGAGAGAAGAACTCTGTCTAAATATGCAGGATTTCTGTGTTAAACATGTGTGAATGAAACAAAACATAACTTCTGGTATGTTTTTGGTGAGGAAGCAGTATAACATACGTAGCTCAGAAAACAGCATAATAAAATAATAAAAAAAAATAATAAAAATAATAATAATAAAATAATAAAAAGCATAAAGTCCAAGATAGGACCAGCACGTGTCCCTGTCCAAGTGGCTGTAGTTTTCCATTCTGTCACCTCAGTGTCTCTCGGCCTCACCTCTGAAGTGTGAACAGCCTCAGTGCCCATCTCTCCGCTTGCCTAACTTTGATCAGCGCAGGTCACCAGCCTTCAGACAGGCAAGGTCAGAGCAACAAGACAATGTGAGCGCCTTGTCAAAAAGTGGGTAAGAGCCACCTGTTTGGGAATACCCACGCTCCCTTGTACCTGTCTCTTGATGCCAGACTTCAAACCAACCGGAGTCAACTGCTTCGCTTTCCGAGGCCTGCCCGTTCATTGAAGTGTCTATTATCAGTGTCCCCAGGTATCCTTGTCAAATTCTTAGACAGCAGCCACCCTTGGACTATATGCAAATGTGCTACCGAGTTACAAAGCTCCCGTGAGGAGGGAATCTATGTTTCTCTCATGCGCTGGGCTGTGTTGAAGCTGCTGATAAACGGTGGGGGTGGTACAGTTTGTTTTTCCGATAAGGTGAGCAAAATCAACTGGAATGGCGCGTCGCTGTGTAGTCTTTTTTCAGCCTGTCTCGAACCTAATCCGCTTTTTGCCTCCCCCTGGGCCAGAATTTGAATGACCTGATCAATTTCTAATCAGGAAAGACCCGCAGCCTTTCTACTCTCATAATAGAGTTGCCTACAAATCTTCTCTATACGGGAGACTAAGCTCGGAATTGTCGGGAGCGAAAAAAGGGGAGCAGGTATATCGCAGGTCCCTCGTGTTTTGCAAGGCTTTATCTTTAATGTGAATCTGTAAGCTAAATTTAGAGGTATTTTCAGATTCCTAAACAGTGCTCTCATCACAGTGGAGAAACCCAGGGCCTGTTTTAAAGGGAGAGGTGGCCTTTTCATGTTGAATGGAAACCCCAGGAGGTCTGTCGGCTTTGTCACTCATGAAAAAAGTCAAAGAAAAAAGCTTTAGTTTTAGTTTGGGATTTGTCGCCTGAAAGTTTTCAACAGGCTGCACTTAGTTTGCTCCAAGTGGAACGTAATTAGGATGAAAAAGTAAAGATTTTTTTTTTTTAAAGACAACACTGACTCCAGATTTTATTAAAATGTGTTACTTGTCCGCTGCACATTGTAACCTTTTGAACCATGCACAAGATCAATGCGTTATATGATTTGCCACTCTGCTTGTGATTTGGTCTCCTATTACCACTCAGTTAACAAAAGCTATTTTCATTGATTGGCATGTTTTTAGCTGCACTGAAAGGGGAACTGAAGCAAATGGCCATGGGAGCGGAACCTACTTCCATTATGAAGCCTTTTTATAGTCTTTTCAATAGAGAAGTGAGGTTCACGTGCAACCTGTACTGAACAGTATAAGAGCAATAGACCTGTCCACAGCTATTGATTAAGCACTCATTTAAAAACTAAATTTCAGATGTTATCATAGGGAGCCAGTTTGTGTATTTATTATGTAACTTGATATCTCTTGTTTGCTTGCAGGTGAATCATTACAGAATGATGCAGAAGTCCAACCGACCTTTTATAGTCAACAGGTGATTTCACTGGAACTTAGATGAAACAGAGACTTACTCCTGTGAACTGCAGCACAGAGAAGGATATCTGTATTTTGGATGTTTATTGCGCTGAGAAATGTAAACAAAGGTATTTTGGATTGCCTGGATACTTTGAACCACCACTTGCAGCATGGTCATTTTTTTGGATTTTGCAACTGCTGCTTAATCATGAGGCTATTTTTGTCAGTTCCCTGCTGAGAGACTGTGAGTGTGACGCAATGAATCTGACCAAACGAAGAAAATTCAGGACATTTGCTCTTTTGGTGTGCATTTTAACATTTACCATGTTCCTGTTCAGCTACACCCTTCCAGATACCTATTCTTCACTTCACTTTTTTTAAATATGCCTTTCACCTGTCGGACTCTAAAGGACTATGCGCCTGCGAGCAATGCATAGTGGAACTGGACGATGACCCGTGGTTTGCCGAGCGCTTCAATCAATCCATCCACCCACTGATGACCACAGACAACAGCGTGCTCTCTGATGAAACCTATAAATGGTGGCAGGTAAGGTTGTATTGAAGTAAAACAGGCACAGCAGTGGCACAGCCAGAGATATCAAACACAAAGATCAGGAATAAAGAGCAAAATCCAAGAGATCTTCTCCAGGATCAAACTGTGAAATGAGCTCCCACGCACAATTTGTTCACATTCAGCCCACAAAATGGAGAGGGAAGTAGCTGTTTTGTTAAGCATATTCAATCTAATAAAAAAAAAATAAAAAAAATAAATCCTCAGGGTAATCTTAGAAATGTAATAATCTTGTTGCATTTAATATACATATACATATATATTTAAATGTCAGTGAATGATTGAGAACATGAGGATGAGGTGTAATGTAATTTTGTTTTTGGTTGGAAGACATGAATTATGAACAGTCAATATTGGGGATTCATCAGCCCATATATGCCGGGCAACCAAACAAATATTGATAAAATGCTGTATTTACTTTACTATATCATACAGCAGGTTTAAGGATCTCGTCTTGTAAATGATCAGTTTCAACAGTTGTGAGTCTTTTAGATATTTGCATTGTCTGACAAACTGTAATGTTATAAATAGGGAAAACTGGTTCCTGTGCCCCATTTGGCATTATGACATCACCAGATCACAGAATCTGAATATACAACCTTTAAACAAAATACAGATTCGATACCATGCCATTCCAACCTGTGACCTTTGGCGATTTTTTTGCTGGCATTCCAAATTCTGATAACAGTTCATTGTTAACAGTTAAGAGTTAATTAGTTATTACACTAAACTTTATGATTTGAGAAGTATTTATAAACTGGGAGATATTTTAGTGCAAGAAGCTAGGTTGTTAGAAAGCCACAATGAAAGGACAAGACTGAATTTGTACAGCAGAATTAGTATGCTGGGCTTGTGAGCTTATCTTGTGTTTGGACTCAGAGAGGCTAGTTTGTGGTCCTGCTTGCAGTCAGGTAGAGCACAGCTAATCAGCCACTAGTATTAGGCTTGCATGTCTTCCGTAGGTTATCAGCGGATTTCCAATTGGTGGAAATATGCACTATTTATGTAATTACCACATTACCAATCATGTTCTCAGATAAGTTTACTACAAGGATACACAAACTGTACCTATTGCCTATTGCCTGTTGCAGCAGAAGAATTCCTGGAGTTTGGCACCTTTACAATTTCAGAGTGGTACTGTTTAAAGAGCCACCCTCCAGAGAAACTAGAGGGCAGCCATTCTCGATGACTGACACTCAAAATTGCTATTTATTGTAGGTATTGCTAACTGAACAAGGGTACACATATTTTTCAGCAGTGGGGCCATAGTATACAATAGGGGTGTGCAAAAATATTGAAATATCGATATATCGTATCGTTTAATGTGATGATACAGTATCGATATTGTGGGCTGCTGTATCGATATATCGCCAAGATTATTTTTTTGGTATATTTTACTACATTATATTGTTACAGTGCTACAGTTTTGTTGCTTGTTTAGAGGAAGGAAACTTGTTCATGCAACACATTTGACATTTTCACTGTTTTGATGATTCAAATGGCTGTTTCCTGTTAACTTTGCATAAGAAGTGGTTTAACAAGCACTTTTAGTCTCACAGCCACGATTTAGCCTTTATTTTTTATTAAACTGTATTGAATTAATTTGAAATATATCATACTGAATTGAAAGTGGAATGTATCGAGATATGTATCGTATCGTCGCCTATGCATTGAGGTATGTATCGTATCATCACTTTCTTAATGATACCCAGCCCTAGTATGTAAGATTCTAGGGCAATAGAGTAGACAACTAAAGAAATTCGTGTTGACTAAAGACATGTCTTGCCAATTAATTACTTCACTAAAAATGGGATGTGCCAAAAGCTCCCAAAATGGTGATGTCTCTCCATGTACCTCACCCAAACTGCACTCACAAGACTCCAACTACACGGGATTTTAAAATAAAATAGCTATTTATGCAGATTAAGATTAAATTTGTGAATCATGAGTTCAGTCTACCTTTGTACATAAAAAATAAAATCACTCACTCACTTCTCCGTTTGGCTGTTGTCCCGTGTAAATCCTTATAATCTAAATAAAATGATAAGATGACAAACACCAATTCTGGTAGACTAAAACACCATCAACCGATTAATTGACTAAAGGATTACAGCCCTATAAAATTCACAGATAGTAACTGTAAAAGTATACATTCTTACACTCTCACTACGAGCTTTAATGTGCTCTGTTTGATTACAGTTCATTCATATTTTATTATTAGATTATCTAAAATGTATCTCCAAATTAAAAAAGGCAACACACAAAATTTATGCTTCACAATTATGCTTCTTCGACCTGCAGAACCAAAGCAACGCCTAAGGTATTCCCACATTCACCTCACACCTTGTCCAATTAGAAGTAAGAATAGAAAAATTACTGCAAGGTTGCCTACTGTCACTACTCATTTCAGGAAATGCTTCTCAGGGGGAGCTTGATGAGCTAAACGTCAAATATCAGAGCTAGTGCAGCCAGATGGTCATTGCTCTGCTGTAAGGCAAGGGCACAGCCTCCTCCTCTACATCCTGGACATAAGATTACACTGTTTTATGGCCAAGTGTAATTTCAACAAATGGGACATGTACGAAAAGTGACTGGAAGGCCTTAGTAACACAGTAGACGCATGGAAAGAGCAAATTAGTAAATTGAGGTTACAGGAGAGCCAGGCCACACAAAAGATCTATTATAGTTTAGATGGGTCAGGCCATCATGATCTTAAATTATCTATGACATGGGCCATAGTAGATGGATTTAATTGTAAAGGGTATATTACTCTATGCACTAAATACAACCACTATAGTACACTAATTGGTCATTGAAGGAGACATTTATTTAAGGGACCATGACACCAAACATGCTCGCATTGAGTTCTGGTTGTTTGATGCTGCTTTGGCTTTGTGATGACTCAATTTCTCCTTATCTTGTCTAGGGCTCCAACTAAGAGTTATTTTGTTAATTGATTAACTTGCAATTATTCTTTTGATTCATCGATTAGTTGATTTCACATTCACAACCCAACCAGCCTGTGAATGTGAGATTTTTCAAAATTTGACCCAGATAAAGCTACAGTGATGCCCATTGAGGCCATCCGGATGGAGTATATTACAGACGAAAGAGTGTTTAAAAAAAAAAAAAAACATTAACTTTACATATAGACTGTGACACTTTGGTAATAACTGCTCTGTCTTAGTCCTAAAATCTCTTCTCTCAGGGCAAGGCATGTTTGGAAATTCTGTATAAATCAGTTAATGATTATTCAATTTATAAATTATTTGACAATTCCAGTTAATCAGTTAACTTATTGCAGCCCTAATGTAGTTCTGTATTTGATCTCTGTGTTGGCTTTGGCTTTATATTTGATTCACTAGAGAGTTGGATATTCATTGTGACTCCAGTTTCAGAAAAGTTTCACTGCCTAATATGTATTTGCTAAGAGTTGAGCAGAAGAATAGCAGGCTAAAAGAGCCCTCCCAGACTGTGCTAAGCCGCCCTGAGGTTATTTCACAAATGTGCCTGGGCGTCTGCAGCTCCACTGGCCTTGTTCAATCACTTCTGCTTAAAGTGGCCCCGCAGCGAGGACTCTCTCTCAGCTCTGTCTCCTGTGTCACCAGTGGCTCCAAGCTGAACGAAAGCCGGCCAACTTTACCCAAGTGGTGGAAGAGTTGTTCCAAGTCATCCCCGATGAGGTGCTCTACACGGACGCAGGCCCTGAGCGCTGCAGAACTTGCTCAGTGGTTGGAAACTCTGGAAACCTGAAGGGGGCGCACTACGGCTCACTTATTGATTCCAGTGACTTCATCATAAGGTTAGTGACCACTTTCAGTCAATTTTTTTTGTATTTATTACAAAGCATACATTTTTGCAGACATTTTAAAAGCTGTTATTTTATTAAACCATGTAAGTAACGCTGTATAAGACAAAATGTATTATTAATTATTATAAGAATTATTATTATTATCCTAATGCCTCTTTACTTAGACACTTATTAACACTAATTTATTTGATTTGCTTCAGTCTAAAAAAAGATATACACATTAACACATGTTTACACATGTCTCTGTCTTTTCACACTAGTGATGGGAATTTCAGCTCTTTTTGGAGTGCCAGTTCTTTTGGCTCTGCTTACTATAAAAAGCCGGCTCTTTCTGCTCCTCAGATTTTCAGTTTCTTAAATTAATTTATAACCAAAAATAATGCAAAACTGCTTGTAAAATAAATTACTAATTTAAAAAAACATACATGACATCAAATATTTATCCTTATATGGCTTTATTTTTTGAACGCACTCAACCTTGAACAGAGTGCTATAAAGTATTTTAAGTACAAAAAGTATAAAAAGACCCATCTTAATTAGACAAACTTTTAATTTATTTGCACTGAAATGTATCAAAATTTGACTGCGTTTTCAGCTGCTGTTGCTCATTTTCTCACCATTCGTTTCTCTTGCGCACGTTCACTTGCTCGCTCCCTCTCCCTCGATCCCTCGTCTCCCACGTGTTGTGTGTGCGCTCACTCCTGTGTGTGTTTGTAACCCCTCCCTCCTTCCGCACAGTGGACATGCAGATGCAGCCACACATCTTGACCAATCACGAGCAGTTTTCACAAAAAAGTGTAGGAAAAAACTAGAAAGGCACTCTAAAAAACTAAATCGGCTCCCAACAAGGAGCCAGCTCCCGTCGATTACTTCAAAGAGCCGGCTCTAAGAGCCGGATCGTTCATGACTGACACATCACTATTTCACACACTGGAAATCGCCAACCTTCAGCGCATTCAACGATAGAATATGCCGACAGTTTGACAATTGAAGGCTCTTTCACCATTTACACTTTTACATGTTTAATGTGCTGTCAGGGTGCAATGACTGACAATTAATTATTATTTACCACAAACTTTCATATTTTTTTTATTTATATATTGTAGAAGAAACAAAATATTTAAAATAGTGAAATCTTTAAATAACTGTCATTCACAGTGCTTAATAGATCATCCATCAACTACATTCATATATAGTGTCATGCACTGGATTAAAATACTTGGAAAACTCTAACTTGGAAGGTTAGAGTTTTGTTAAGGGTGAGGATCGTTAATTGTAAACTCCACAGGACCTGTATGTAATTTAGCTCATTTTATGCCTCAGTATAGAGCATTTCCCTCTGAATTAATTACTAATCTATTTCCATGTCTTAGTTCTGTACAAGTACATGAGAGTAAAGCACGTAAAAATAACTCTTAACAAAGCAACACAAGAAAACAATTTGAATGGAGTGTTTGGATGTTTATCCTTGGCCTTAGGGGGAACTGGAAACAAGAGAGGAGTTAGCTGCTTTGTGTCGTCTGTGACTCCAATTGCAACAACCTGGAATATGAATTTGAATTGGTATAAAACACAGCCAGAACATTAGCTTAGGGGCATTATATAATTATCCACACATGCTGAAAATGGTAATATTTCAGCTACAGGTGACAAATGTATTGCTGTGACAAGAAAAATGAAATGCTCTGGGAGAAGGTTGTAAACTTGCATTAGCAGACAAGATAATAAATGCATTGCTAAATATTTCCAAGATACACAGTTCACAAAGCAAAGGGCCCAGACGGACAGAGCGTCAGAAAAGCCCACATTATAATTCAGACGCAGCCACCACAGATCCCCTTAAAGCCCGCCTTATAGACTATTATGAACAATGTATTGCAGGACCCACTGACTAAAGCTTATGTTTGATCAGCAGATTGCAATGGTGAGATATGCAGACTAGAGTCCTTGGCTATTCTTTTGACAGAGATGAAGATGGAGCACTATAGTTTAGGATAATGAAATGATTTGATGTGCAAATAACTCATAATAATTATTAAATTGGAGGTAAATGGTGGTTTTGTTCAATTTAAAATGTATTAAGCAATAAGCAGATTGGCCGTGAATTCTTAGCGTAACTTTAAAGTACATGCTTTGCTAAGTCCATTAAAAGCATGTTCATGATAAAAGATAAAAAGTACATCGTAGACATAATGGCAAAGCTTTTATCTAGTAATGGGAGGAAAAGTGCCAAGTTTTCACACAAGTAGTACAATTGCATCTCATCCCTCCAGTAGTGTACACAGAATGCAGATAAAGGAAAGCAGTCTGGGTTGAGCAAAGGTAAGAGATAATATTATCTAATAATATTCTATTCTAATAAAAAGATTAAACAAGATATAGATTAAACAACAACAGCAAACAATAGGTGTACCCACTCACTCTTTGCAGTACTACTGTATGTGTTGCTAGGTTACAAATACCATATAAAGGTTAATAGTATAATTTTGAATTCTAACCTCTCATTTTTGTCAAACAGAAGGCTTGGTTAAATACTAAATTAATACGAATACAAATGCATTTTCATTTTCCGCCCTCATGGGAACACAGCACTATTGTTTGATTGCCCTAAGCTTATTTGAGCAATTAAAGACTATATTTACTGCCAACAACAAAACACCTTCTGTACAATGGCCTAAATCACAATACAACATTTGCATTTTGATGATCCCCTTGTACGTTACAATTTCAGATTTAAACCTTAATTAAAATGCTATGCAGCAATACAACCCGATACTGTACCTATGTTTAGAGCGAGGCTTTCATGGCCTAATCTCATTTTGTGGGTGAATAAAGACGTATGCTTAGATTGATGGCAAATGAGCAGCGCAATTATAAAGCTGACACTAAGATCTTATCAGAAGAGTAACTACACGTCGTCTGTATGTGTCAGAATTTCTCTGGGCGTTCCCCTTTGGCTCTTAATTCCTCCTAGCATGCTGTGGGTCACTGTGACATGTTAGTTCGGTATAAAAGCACATTACTGCACTTATCTTCTTTGCCAGCCCCCTATTGTGACAGCAGCAAGGCATTGTCTACCAATTCAATTATCCTATGACAGGGACAGCACCAGAAAGACAAGACTTATTACTTTGCCATTAGCAGTGAAGTGCTTAGCCATGGCAACAAGCTTTCACGCTCATTGTGGGTTTGAAATGTTGCCCTGTATTTAATGTGTGGAATATATAAATCAAGCGTGATGGACAATGGATTGCTTCAGTGGCATCTCTACAATAAATCCTCTATACAAGAAGAAGAAAGTGTGGAAAATTCTTCATTAAATGTTTTGATTAATGTAATGTTACTGTTGGTGCTGAATACAGAAACCTTGTTCAGATTGTTTTAATATTAAGTACTTTCAAGTTTCAGATAGCACAAAAAGTTGATCCATTTATCGGCTTCTTACCTTCAGAGTTTCATTTGCTGTCTTGAATGGAAGATTTAATTAAATTTAAAAAGCACAGATTTTCACCGTCTTAAAACTTGAAAAACAGAACTAGTTAATTTAAGCAGTTTGCAAAGTTATTCCTCACTTTATGCATTCTGATTATCCTAATTTTCTATCCTAAACAACTCTCAAGAGACCAGTGTGGACTTTTGCCATGATGGTAAAGCTAACAACAACTAGGATGCTAAAGTGTTTTTTTTGGCAATGTGACAATAAAATTATTTTTATTTAGAGGCAGACAGCACGCAGCAGACTTAGTTTGACCTGAATAGCTCTGCATACATCTGTAGTGGACATATTTTACTTAAATGCATGGGGAAACAAACTGGTTTAATTTATTTTTATTTTTTTTGTATTTGGGGCATTCTGTGTGACATGGATTTTTATGTCATATTTCATTTGAAACTTACTTGTCTGTCTCGGAAATGCAACCATCAAATCATTTATATTATGTTAAATTGAGGATCAGACAGAATTACATTGAACACTATGATGAAATTCATTCCAAATAGTTTCATAAAGATTGATCTCGATGCTCACAGACGTAATTTAAGTAGTGCAATTTCTGAGGCTGAAATCTCCTACTTTAAAAACGGGGATCTTCACACCAGCTACGCTGCACATCACATAGCGTTCCGACAAGTTGTAATGACATTCTAAAAACCTGTTTACAAGCTTCGCAAATCATAATGATGTGGTCCCGAGGGCTCGCAAATGACCAGAATACTCACTATGAGTGCCTCTTACCCGTCAACAACCTTCAGCCCAAGATGAATAAGCTGCCATTTGTCTTTGTAATCAGTGCCCTAAAGCCTGAAAGGGGCTCACATAATGGAAAATGTGTTTTAGCACAAGATCAGAAGAAACTTCAGAATGTGTCACTCCTAAAACATCTAATTAAGATTTTTCCCATCCCTCTCTGCAATCAATCCTGACCATGCTGCTCATAAACCTATTTGTCACTGAGACAAAAACAACAATGAAGCTAATTGGCTTGATTTTCACCTGGGCTTTCCATGGTTTAAATGGTTCTCTGGGGATGTAGAAATGTCTGCTTCAATTGTAATTATTCTGCTGTGATATGATCTGTTATAACTGGGTAATTTATATCTTATTTGTCATTCCATCTTCAGTTCTGTAAATAACACGTTACCTGCCTTAATACTCTAAACAAATATTAGTGTTTTTTGTTTATCTCAAAAAACACACAGTTTTTATTTTATTATTATTTCAGATGATTAACTGACTGTTAATTTTAATCTGAAGAGACTGATAGAGAAAATATCAGAGAAAGTTTTGACATTCAGACCCCGATAGACGATATTGCGATGGAGGGCGTGCCCGATTAGATGGCGTTTAGGAGAGGTGTTCTCCTGGGGCCTGGACACTGCAAGGCAGCCAAGGAGTAAAGGGGATGATGAGAGGATGAGAAGCTGAGGGGGTGCTGGGGAGGAGGAGGGAGTAGCACAAACCGAAGCAGCCGTTCACCTGCAATGGGGGTTTA